ACAAATGTATTACACTTTACAATGTATTATAATGTATAAAAATATTTTAGAATGGTTAGATTTACAATTGTAATATAAATATATTTAACTAATTGCAATTTAAATATTAACTTTATTTGTATTTATTTCGATATAAAATGTCAGGTTTTGATAATTAAAGTATCAATAAAAATTTAATTATAATAATGTAGTAATTAATTTGTAATTCCATATAATAATTAAATATGATCAATTGTAATTAAGCAGTTTATGAATATTTAATTCAGTTAACAAACTAAGACTGAATGATTTTGTGCAGCATTGCGAGGGCTGTATTGCCGGCATCGGTGGGCACCATATGTCCGGCTTTAATAATCCAATAGAGAGAGAAATTCTTGTATGTTTTAAAGTAACCGCCGCTCATCTCTTCCCTGTTTGCGATTTCAAAATTTTTCAGGTCTGGCCATTGGAGTGAATGAACCCAATTGAGTGTTCCTAAGGTGTCCACTATTAGATCCAATTGACCCGTATATACAACCACTTTGAGGTCTGTGTTGGCCAACAGGTAGTCAACATCACTGACCACATCGCGCATGAAATCAGCGGACAAGTGGTCAAACACATCATTGGACTGTCCACCCCACGTCACATTCGCTGGGATTCTATACATGTAACATATTGTATCGCAATATTAATCACTTATTTGTTTTAATAATTATAACTTACTTAAGTTTGGTCTTAATGGGACCGTTCATTAATGCGTCCAAATCATCATTGTGATATTTGGCCAAATGTTTAACAATATTACTACTGAGAGTGGTTTTATTAAGAGACTTCATTTGATTCAGATATCTGGTACTCAATTGATTATTTGATCCGTAGAGTACATTATACCAGTCGATACCGCCGTCGATGGAACTGACAAACATCTCAAGACTTCCCCATTCATTGGTCGCCTCTTCATACTCGCCATTCTTTAGAGAGGTTCTGATCTCTTCGGCTTTAGCATCGATTTCACTCTTTTGGTGTCTATCGATGTATGACTTCATAACAAAATAGAATATAAAAGATTGATTAAAATATAAAGTTTTACATAAATATAAATGTGCATGGTTAATATACCAATGTGTAGAGATACTGTCCCCACGTGGACACCGAGTCTATTGGGGAGATCCAGGAGTCGCCCAAAGCAATGCCCTTGAAATTGGCCTTGATCTCTTTGTCTTGAATGGCCCGATGCAACTCTTTGGCAAAACCGACGGTCATTTTACCGCCGTATGACTCGCAGAAGATATATAATGGCGTCGACTGGAATCCAAATGTCGAACATTATTATAACATTGAAATTAATTTAATTACAAATATTTTTACCTCAAATTCTGGCGATTTCTTGTAAAATTCCTTCATTAAAGTGACCAAATCTTTGGCGATCTCTGTATTATCTTTAGTATAAGCCCTACTATTGTCGACATAACTAAATCCGGTTCCGACGGGATTGTCAATGAATAGCAGATTTGCGTATTTAATCCATGAAGTGTTCCTCACTTTCAAACCAGAGTCTTGCGGTCCGATTTCATTGAAGTTTCCATAACCGGTAGAACTCGCACCCGGACCTCCTGTTTACCAATTTATTGACAATAGTTTACTTTTAATTTCTAAACTATATTGTAATACAAATAATATTAATGGTATTACACTATTTGCCATAACTTTGTATTTACTTAAAAAGTGTCAATCATATCAAACTGACAGATGTGTTTAGATGTCAAAACATACACCGATAATTTCTCATTAATAGGCTTACTTATATTGAAATTAGTTATGTAAACATTTACTATCGCTTAACACAATATTTTTGAGTAATTGTACATGTACATAATTGTAATGTATTTAACCATTAACATTAATTATATTATTTTTAATTATCAATGAATTGCAACTGTATTTAATGAACAAACCCTGAAGCCATATAACCAGCGGCAGTGCATTCGAGTTATTGCTAGAATTGGCGTAAAATAGCCACCAAAACATGTGAGCGCCCGGACGTACGCTCACATAACCCGACGCCTCCTTATATGCCTCCACTTTATCTGTTAATTATATCAAAGAATATAAAGTATTTTTATATACTGTATATATTAATATTAAATAAAATTCTATCAGGTATTGTAAAAATATTCTTACCATTACTTATGAATAAAACGAACGCCAAAAACATAAACGAAAATAATTTAATAAACATGTTAATATTTTGTTGTCTAAACACAAAATTCATAATTTACTAAATGACTGACTATTTTGTTCAATCATTATATTTAGACTTAAATCCGTAGAGCATATGCACTGATCGGCTGATAATGAGAAAAACTTTGACAGTTTAGAAATTGATAAGTTTTATCTTTGATATCAGTTATTAAGCACAACACAGTTGGAGACTTACTTGTGATCATGTTTTTAAATTTTATTGAGACTTTTTTAAAGACATTGGTAAATGTATTACAATGTAAAAATGCATTAAAATTTAGACATGTTTACTAGTAATTTGCTATTTGACGAAAACTATGTGTTATATTTCTGTTATCGACTACTTTATCGCAACGTATAATACCTGAGAAATCAATTGTTTTTAAAATCAATGTCAAGTGATTTTTGTTGGATCTTTGGATTTAGCAATAATGCATTTTATACATTATTTTACACTGATTTTTAAATTATTAAATTTATCATGTTTAGAATAACATTTGTACTGTAGATTCAATAATATTAGTTAAAATGCCACATAACTAAAGACTTTAGACTTTAACTAAAAAATGCCATTTAATTGTAAATAAAGCTATTTAAATAAAATAATTTTGTTTTGAAACTTATTTCGTATACAATTTTTAAAACAAATAATTAGTGAAGTATTAATTAACATGATCAAAATTCATTACTATTAAACTGTAGAGGTAAAGAGAGAGTACTACAGTATACACTTCAAATGATTGAATGCACGATAAAAACTATTAAACTTATAGGAAATAAATGGTTATAATGTATTATATACTTTATTATTTGCAAAATAAATTAAATTGTTTCTTTATATTTAGAAAATTAAATAATTACAATATTACCACTAATTCTTTTTGGTATAAACTACCATGTTATGATATTTATTTATACATGTATCAACAACAAATTAATAAATTAAAGAAATAAGTAATTTGTAAGAGAATATACTGCAATTTTAATTAATTAAATACGAAGTATTACATCTAATTATTTATATAATTTTAAATGAAGTATTCAATTCATCAATAAATTTTAAATGATATAAATATAGTTAAATATAACCATGATTAAATTCATGATTTATCAATGTACCAAATATGAACACCCGGGCCCTGAATTTTCAATCGCTGATCCCTAGCACTTGGCTATACCAATGTATATCAATGTTTGTGATGACAATATTTGTGCTAATATTGGGCTTTGTATCGACCTATAAGTGCTCTTATTTATTATAATTATGGTTTATTATTAGAAATGAATTTAATTAATAAATTGACTTTAAAATACATTTATTTATAAAATAAAAGTAAATAATAACATGAATTAAAAATTAACATTAAGAATAAGTACAATAATATGATAACAGGTTTGTAATATAATATGATAATAATTTACTTTTGTTGGTCAGACATTTATTATATACTGTATATAAAGTTATGATTAAATTGATTTATTGTGTAAATATTGAATATAAATTAAATCAGACAACAATTAAGTAAAATGTATTGCTCTCATAATATTATCCCTCATAACATGTTTAACAATAAAACTTCAAAATAATCAAACAATACAAACATTAATTAAATTATTCATTCTCTCTGTTCGCGTAATCTTATATAACGAGTGATTTTATCGACAAAATAATGTTGTTATTAATTTGAAGATAGTTTTTATTTATAAAATATTAGATATATTTTGGTTTTATCTTTCATTTTGAATCAAATATACATCTTATTTATCCGATTCTGGCTTTGAAGAGACGGTTACTATAAGCGCCTGAACTGACCGCTGGACTCGGTTTGGCGAAAGTGACGTCCACTGAACCGATACACGACTTCGGGTCCGAGAAGTAATAGCATAGCCTTCGGGGAGCCATTCGGTGCCGTTTGATGTGTTGACAGCACAGGCCGTGACTCGCGTCACATTCACTCGATGTCATGCACTCGTCATCTGAGAGAGAGAGAGAGAGAGAGAGATAATTTAAATTAATGATTCAAATATTGGTTTAAGTGGTTGTAAATGACAAATGGATGCACAGATGTATGGATAAAGTGAGCAAACAATAGGTTGGGACGCACTGTACTGTTTCTTCATCATATCTCTTCCCGGGGGCTGACATGTCCTCTGTCTTTGTCTCATTGCCATTAGGGGCTGATTGTCGAGACATCTTAATCCAGGCTCGCAATCGTTGTCGTCCTGACACGACTCGCCCTCATTTACGCCATAAATTGGTAGACAAGTGCCGGCAACTGATCCACAAATAAGACAAT